CTTGGACTCATGGATATTTATATGTTGTAGCACTTATTGAAAAGCCTTTTTCCCCACTGCGTGTCTCGGGGTCATCCTTAGCTGCCTGGTTCAGTCAGTTTCTGGGCTCTGTTGGGATCCACTGACTTGTTTGCAAATTCTCTCACTGGTAGATCACTGTGCTATATCGTAAATGTTGAATTTGTGTGATGTCAGTCTTGTGACTTTGCTCTGTTAGTATTTGGCTATTCCCCTGGGTGTTCTCACTTTTCACATAAGCCTGAGAATCTGTGCTTTGCATCTTCCAAAGAATCTGTTGACTCTTATTTGGAATTGCATTGAATTGGTAGATTGAGTCAAAAAGACTTGATATGTTTGCAGCATTGAGACTTTTTCCTCTATGGGCATTGTATCTGCATTATAACACCTATTCATGGAGTTGCTATTGTCATACATGAGTGTTTTTTTTTTTAGTTGGATGCTATAAGATATATTGGGTTTTAAATTCTAAGAATTCTCTGTTGGTATAGAGGAAGTAATTATTCCTTTGGCAGCTACCATTCATTCTCACTTTAGATTATTGATTATTTTCAAGAAAATTCATTGCTACTTTTTGATGATTAAAAAGATATTCATATTATCTGGAAGAAAGAAACATGTATGCAGTCCTTTTGATTTGTTTGTCCTTTCCATCCCTTCAGCGGGTGACAGTGTCTCCCACCTGGAGGATAATATTCAACCTCCCAGGTGACCATGGGCATCCTTACCAAGCTCATGCCCTTGGTGTGAAAACATACAAGTTTTCTCGAATGGGAAAGACATCAGACTTATATCTTGAAGAACAACTCTTTGTGTAGCCAACACGACCTCGATCTTGAGGCCATCCTTTTAACTCAGCCTTCCAAATGCTGGTATTACAGGCAGGTGCCACCATAATTAACTTAAAGATAGTCTTGCTTTTACAAATGTCATTCCTCATATTTCTAGACTGAGATTTTTCAGAAAGATTTATTTTGGATTTTGCTTACTACATGAATATTCATATGATTAAAATATTTTCTCTTGGTCTATTGATGTGATTAATTAAACAATGATCACATGGTGAACCATCTTTGTATGAGCAGAAATAATTTCATTTGATATTCTTGTATATTGATTAATATAAATTTGTCCCATTGATTTGCTAACACATTATTAATTTGTAAAAATTAATTAATTTTTTTTGAGACCGGGTCTTGCAATGTAGTTGAGTCTGGACTTTTGCTCACATTTTAGCTCAGGTTGGTCTCAAAATCACAGCCGTGCTCCTGCCTCAGGCTTCTGAGTGTTGGCTCTACAGGTGTGAGCCAACACACCCAGCCAATTAATGCTATTTAATTTTTTTTGTTTATTACATGTATTTGCTCATAAAACTTTGTTCTTCTGAGGCATTATCCGTTTGTAGAATTATAGTCATGCTTGCCTCATAGGATAAATTGAGACTGTGAATGTATGTATTGGGACATGGTTGTGGAGAACTGGTGACATTTGTTCCTATAAAGCTTTGAAGAATTCCATTCATTCCATTGATGTATCTGGCCAAATGGTTTTTGCTCTTGGACATTATAGGAACTGATATAATTTCTTTAATAGGTATAGACTTATATTCACAATATTTTTGTGAGAACATTGATAAATTTGTCTTTAAAGATATTTGTCTAGTCCAAGTTAGGGCTAGATGGGTTTTGACAACATGTTTTATAAACCTTTTAAAATATAACAATGCATAGTGATGGTATCTCCTTTTACACTTCTCCTCCAGTTTCACTGTGTTCTAATGATTTTTTCATAGAGGATCTACCACTGTTTGTTTAGTGGATGTTGCATTCTCCAATTGTAATTTTGCCATCATCTGTTTCTCTTTGTGGTTATGTCCATATTTTTGTCCAGTATTTTGATTTACGCAGCGTGCATGCACATTTAAGAAATCACACATCCATGATATATTGAGCCTGTCAGGATTTAAAGTCTGTCTTTATACTAGATAATTTTTATTCCTTTGAAGCTTGCCTTGCCTGACTTCAATATAGCTTTCTAGCATTCTCTGGTCTATTGTTAATGTGGTGTGTCATTCTGCATCTCCATTTTTGATGTGAGTTCTTCCAGGTTCCATAGATTATGTTGTCACCTACTCTGAACATACCTGACTTTTAATTAGAGTATTGAAACCACTGGCATTGGAGGTTTTCATTGATACACTTGGGTAAATATCTACTATTTTAACTACTGCTTCATGTTCATTCATTTTTTCCTCTGGGTTTTTTTCCCCATAATTTTATTGAGAAACAAATAGCAATGAGACAGTTTCAAGTCAAATTGGTGGGACAGTTTTAATAATTAACACATTGCGTACTCTCTTCCTAGTGGTTATTTGCTCCAAAAGATGTGGACATGATATCCCATTTACAAACACTATTAGAACAAATCCCTCAGTTCATTAAGAGAATGTAACTATATATCTATCCTAACTATTTTGAATACACAGATGCAAAATGGACATTCATCTGTGTCCCCTTTTTTGTTCAGTTCATCATTTGAATATCATAGGTGTGTTCTCAGCAAAATATTCTAAAAGAGTCCTCTTATTGAGAAGTTTTTGCATGTCAAATGAAATTACAACAAAGTGAAAAGACAACCCATAAATTTGGAAAAAATCATGACAAATAAGTACTCAGACAAAGGTCTGTTCTCTAGAATTTATAAAGATCTAAAAAACACAAGGGCCCCGAAATTTAAAGACACAGTCCAGAAATGGGCATCTGAGATGAACACACACTTCTCATTGGATGAAATTAAAGAAGCAAATTAATATAAGAAAAAATGTGCCACAACATTAGCCATTTGTGAAATGCAAACTAAAACAACACTGAGATACCATCTCACTCCAGAAAGAATGACTATCATAAAGAAATCACACAACAACAAATGTGGGAGAGGCTGTGGGGAAAAAGGAATCTTCTGGGTTTTTTTGTTTCTTTTTGTTTTTTTCTGTTTCTCCTCTAGTTTTTCTGTTTCTGTGCTTTAATTATGTTTATCTTTTCATTGCATACTTTTATTATTTCTTTAAAAAAACTTGTTTGTTAATTTTATTGTATGCATAAGGCCTGACTGATATTTCTTTCTTTTTTTTTCCTGACTGACATTTCTGAATTTGATTTCAGAGAACCATGAAAATGAAGAGTCTAAAATAGAAATTGAATTGCTGACCCCCAGGTAACAAAATGTGTATTCAGGGACCTGACTGGGATGAGTAAAATATGAAGACTTTCCCAAATGGTCACAAGAAAGGATTTAAAGTGCCCATAGATATTACATTGAAATGTAGAAAAACCTGCCATTGTGACCACATAGTCTCACCTCATGAAGTGCCTCTTCTAAGGATGTGCCCATTGTCCCTGAAATACTCATCTGCAATTCAGTGCAATAAGTCACCTGACAGATATAGGAAAGCCAAAGAATCTGCATTCCTTTGTCCTATGCTTGAGTTTAGGATATAATGTATGCTGGTTATATGAGGGACCATGGCACATGTACATGATTATATAACATGGAACCTGACCAGACTGAAAAAAATCTATCATGTAACAATGTATATAGTGTCTTCCTATGTACAAAGTCTGTTGGACCCTCCAGTTTCTCAGAATTATGGACCTTATTGGTGGTTGTAAAATAAACACTATAGGCAGGGTAGGGTCACTG